TAATTGTAAATAAAACAGCCCCATGACACTGTGACTTTCTTTTATATAATATTGCTCAATGGAAAACTTCATTAGGGTATGGTACCACAATATGCTCCAATACTGCTTCTATGCACCCAAAAGGGGTAAGGTTGGAGCACTTGTAGAAATTAGTAGAACCAGCTTGGCAAACCTAAGTAGCAAGGTTCACCATACCTCACCGTTACCAAAGCAGTGAACTGGACATTGTATTGTTGCATGGGTGGATGGATGGATGGATGGATGGATGGATGGATGGATGGATGGATGTTAAAAATCATTATCAAGATAAAAAAATGTTCTCCAAAGCAATATCTTGAAAGAAAGAGAGAATTATATATATTAATGAAAGTTACCCATAAGCTCAGCGAAGCCTCCACTAGGCAGACGACAAGTGCCGGTGACAAACTGCAGCAGCCTTAACCTCTTTTCATTGTCAATCTCGTTCATCAGCTGCAGGGGAAAAAGCAGTAGGACTTGAAGTTTAGCTACTTCAGAAACATTTGCTTTATCACATCATTGATTACCTAATCAAGGACATACAATTTAAATACAATTCCCCAGATCATTAAGTGATAATAAAACATTATGTATCCAATCAAAAACCTTTTAAAGAATAACTTTAAGTATTACTTCTGTAAGAGAAAAAAGTAAGCTATGTTTCATATACAGGTCAGATCAGATAATGCCTCATAGAGCTACTAGGTTGAACTGAAAACACTGCAGTTTGGAAGCTGAGAGAGGAAAACGATTCAGTAATGTGTTAAGATATAAAATCAGAGGAGGTAGAGAGTTCTATATGCATGTATGTATGTTTGGAATATGATCACCTTAAAAACTGAAATTATGTTATTTTTAAAAGTTGTAATGATTTGCTGTGAGGGCCCAGGAAGTAAGCAGCTAAATAGACTCACTCAGCAAGAATAAAACATAAGAATGAAGGGTAAAAAGGTTAAATTAGGAGGAAAAGGGATCAGTTATAAAGTGGAACTAGTGCAAACACCTATGTCAGCCATTCTTCCTTCCAACTTTTCTTCAGAACATTATTTCCCCATTTATCCAAAAACTTTGATTTTAATCACATAACAGTTTTGACACTTGGCTTGTTTGGACCTCCTGAAATCTCCTGAAAGATGCAAGACTTGGTTTGAATATACACACGTGGCCAAAATCGTTGATACTCCTTATCTAATCAAAGAAAAAACCCACAAAATTAATAAACGAAAATGTATGAAATGAACAAAGGAAAGTTCCTAAGGCAGGAATCTCTGTTCTTAAAGTTCAGTCCATGCCCAGAGGACGAGGTAGGTTCCAGCTGGTCGGCTGCCAACAAGACATGGTGGGCACTGCCCATGGAGTCCCAGATGCTGTAGTTCCAGAAATCGAAGGATAGGCAGGAGATCAGAACCAAGCAGACAAAGGAAGGCAGGATAATTGAGAAGGCAAAGTCTGTGTTGAGGTTGTGCTCAGAATTCAAAAGCACGAGTTCAGAGGCCTGAAGACGTTCCAAAGGTAAATCCAGATGGTATCAGGAAGCAGTTTCAAGTTTGCCAGCCATTCTTTCTTCTTGGTTAACAGGCAGAATTTAGCAGGTGTCCAAAGACAGGTCAGGCAAGCAGATCAGAACAGGGACATCCAGACTCAGAGGTCCAAAGGCAGAATGGGTCAAGATCAGACAATCAGTAACACTTAGGTATGCTGAAAGTAATCTGGCACTGATGACTGGTTAGAGGGCTGGTTAAATAGAGGCAAGAGCAGGTGGATCAGATGAAGGCAGGTGAATTAAATTAGTAATCAAGCCAGTCAACAACGCCAAGATCACGAAAGCCTCAGCACATAATAGAGCTTCCACTATGTTTCACATTAGGGACAGTGTTTTTTTCTTGATATGCTGAATTTTTCTATCTGTGACTATAGAGCTGATGTGGCTTGGAAAGTTTATTTTTTGTGTTATCTGTGCATAGGACAATAACCCAGAAGCTTTGTAAATTGTCGACATGTAGTTTTGCAAACTACAGCCTTGCTTTTTATGATTTGTTTTCAAAAGGGATGTCCTCCTTCGTTGTCTCCCATTAAGTCTATTTTGTTTCAAACAACGACAGATGTCGCAATCTGACATTAACAGATTAATTAAAGCCCTTTGGTTAGGTAATGTCCAGCATTCCCTCTCTGCCCGATCACCTGCTTCTGATCATGTCTCCGTCCAATAACTTCCTTGCCTTTGTCTTGCCCCACTGGCAAGACCTCACAGAGTTTTTTGGTTTTTTATTTCTTTATATAAATACGATGTTTCTGCCTGGTGACCATCTCAACATCAGTTTTTTTTATTGATTTCTTTTTTTTAGATATCTCTTTATCTAAATTTAGGTTTCAATTGATTAACTAAATGTCTCCAGACACACAAGGCAAAATATACTGGAGTACAAGACAAACTACTTTCTGTATCAACCTTAACTAGGTTAAAACAATCATTCAAATGTAAAATTCTACTGTTTCTCACTTACCTGCCAGAACCAGACTATCTGTTTACTAGTCTTAGTGTAGTGTTTGTAGATGGTGTTTCTCTGCCAGTCTCCAAGATCAATCTCCTGCATTCCACACAGCATCAGCTGTAAAAAGACAATCACTATTCTGAAAAACCTGGGCCTTTAGGGGCTTCCCAAAACATAAATAATATCTAGATAAGTGTGCTGCAGCTATACCTCTAACTCTTTAGCATCAAAATACTGCAGGTACTGCTGAGGGATAATCTCATTAAAGCCTTCAAAGAACGCTTCCATCTGATCTTCTACTCCACCAAACAGCCGCCACTCTGCTACCAACCTGTAGGGGGCAGTAAGGAGATAAACACACTTCAGCTCAAAACTCAAACAAACTCTGGGAGACGACAGAACTAGAAGATTTAGCAACCCACTTGATGTATTCCTCCTTGTTTTCCTCGGTGACGGGGATGTCTCCTCCACCCGGTTTAAGCTCATGGGTGGAGATTTCTCCAAGGAACTCCTTATCAACTGAGAAGAACATCTCTAAACCACAGTCCTCGATGTTGTTATCCCTGACGTAAAACAAAAAACATATTGGTTACAATGGTATCATTCACCAGATCAGTGACTTTGTGGTTTGATAAAAGTTACAAGCTTCAAAGATAAATTATCCAACAGGGGAAAGAATAATAATTATTGTGTGGATTCTATCAAGTGTTGCAAGGCGAGGTGTTAAGGAGTTGATATTAAGAAATATGATCCGCTTATTCTGAGGGTAGAAACAAAATAATCTAATAAGGGGAGCTGCTTATAATTTTAATGGTATTATTCGTCCAAATACAAGAAATAAAGATCTTTTTTCTTTTGGTGAATTCTTAATATTATCCAGCTTTATAAAAAAAAAAAAATACAAAAACAACAAGATATTAGTAAACTGAAACTACTGGATCATGGTCCATTAATATCTGAAATAAAAGATGATGTTGCTGTAGTGGAGTTAATCCTGTTTATGACTCTTCAAGAAAAGAGGTGGTGAAAATGGATGTTCTACCATAGGTTTTATATTCAGCTCTAAATCTCCCAGATAAACAAAATAAAAATAAAAATATATACATCATGATATTTCTGCAAACAAAATAATCTAGAATCAAATAATGAACACTAACTTAACCCAAAAGGAAAAAAATCTCCTTTGTTCAAGATGTCACTATTAGGCACCTCAAAGCGAACCTTTAAACTTGTGTAATTCCTCTTATTCAGCACATTGGAAAATAAAATGTTAATTATTATAGAATCAGAGGCCCCAGTTGTCTGAGTCTGTTATATCTGATTATACTTTGATCTGAGAAATGGGACTAATTTATGTTATGAAACTGTTACAAAAACCAATCCAACGTCTAGTAGAGGTTCTCCAAAGGATAGGATAGGATTCACGTTTTATACCAATTAACTAAGTGTCAGATTCAAAAGCTGGCATCAATGTCCTCAAGAATAAACAACTAAATGATTTGAAGATTTCAAAGATCAATTCAGGATGAGAAATCAGGATTTATTTAGATGTTGTAATTGATTGTAGTTGATTTAGAAAATTGGAGGAAAATATTGATGTTAGATCAGATATGATAATTTTATTTGCCATATCAATCAATAAATAGAAAATACATTTTAAAAAATAGGAAAATACATTTTAAAATCAAAGATGAAATTAGAAATTAAAAAAAAAAAATAAAAAAAAAATTAAGAAAACAGAAATGAGAAATAAAAGCTACCGTATAAATTGAATCTAAGCAAGACTGGGCTCCCAGACAAGTATAGAAAGTAACTATTTAACATGGAGGAAACATGGGGGGGAACAGTGAGATATTTTAGACCACCAGCACTGATGAAATGTTGGAGGCTGCAGGGAAAAGGCTGCAAACATTGCTTTTCAGTTTTTGGACTGTTTCAGGGGACTGAAATTATAGACCAAAGCGTTCCAACAGGAATCTTCAATAACTTTTAGTCCAAAACTACAAAATGAATGACAGATTTTGAGTTGAATTAATAGGCATTTACATAGATAAAACAGAAAGATATTCTTTATCTCCTTTTTTATGTTAAAAGCCTCTGATTCTTTCTAGCTAATAAAAATTGATCATTCTCACTTGATCCACATGAGGGAGTTGTAAAACTCAGGATCAATGGACTCCAGATCGTTGACAGTCAAAGGTTTGTTGAGCATGCGTTTGTAAAATGGCAGCGAGAAACCAGTGTCGATAAACTTGCCGTGGAAAAGAGCCTGAGGGATAAAAGAATGGATTATTTTCGAACAGAACCCTGAAACTCTTCTTGTAGTTTATTTTCCTGCCTTTAATAAAGCAGTGCTAGTGGTAAAAATAAAATTTACCATTGCAACAAGCCGTCCAATGAACCTGAAGTACTTGAGGTGGTCAGGGTTGATGGAGGAAGCAGGGTTGATCTGAAGACAGTAGTTATCATTGCCAGCATATTCAAACAGGCAGTACATGGGGTTCAAAACCTCGTGGGACAACAGGAAGAACCACTCCCTGGAAGAGAGAATAATAGACACAAAAGCTTATTATATCGTCTGTGACAGTAACAAGGACTTTGGCCCAATACATTCTTAAAAGATATGAGAGGTGAGGCAAGAAGTTTTCACTAACTTCCAACTAACCTGGAAAGACCTGTATAATCAAGACCTTCCTCTCCCGGAAAAATGACCATCAACCTTCTTCTCAGATCCTGGGGATTGATGCTCATTATCTGAAAAAAAAAAAAAAACAGACACAATTCTTATTATTTATTTTTATTTTATTTTTTTTTGGTGTGATTTATGTCTGTTTTGTTTTTCTCAATTTCTTCAAAATGTTGGACAGCAGCGTTAGTAATTAAACATTATTACTGCAAAAAGGTAACTATAGCATGTTAAGTGTCATGTTAGTTTATATTTTCACCGACATGCAGAAACACGTGGAGTTTTGACATTTGATTTAAAAAAGGAACAAGAATCAGTTAATTGAATTTTCTGGTTAGCCCACATACTAAATGTAAGTTTCCATACCTGCTGAAAAGAGTCTTCAAAGAGGTTCTGCCTTGAAACTATGATCTTGATGTGCTGAGGTAAGGCCAGTTGCTGGGAAAAAAAAAAAAAAAAAAAAAACATTTCTAAAGCTGTGATATAACACAAAGAGCTAATAAATTATGTTTTACATCTCAGTCAAAGCTTTTGTTTGTACTGCTTGAATATTTCAGTTTAAATAGGAAAACATGCTGACAAAGTGGATAACAGCATAAAAGATATCCTCTATCTTATCTTAATTTCAGTCTGGACAACTACAGCCTGGGTAATACCTGCAGTAGCTGCAAACAAACACAAAAGTGCACCTTTTCTCCATTTCATCAATTTCCAGCCAGCTGAACTTTGATTTCAATTCAAATTCCCTTTCACATCTTTTTTTTCTTTTCTTTCCAATATTCTGGAGCAAATATCCATATGTTGCACAATTATACATAATTAAAGCCCCCTAACACTAAGATGTGTGGTAAACAGCTTTTTTACCACTCTTTAGGCAATTCATATAAGCTGTTTCAAGTTGAATAACAGATTTGTCCAATCTGGCAAGAAATATATTTATTGTAGGATGTTTTAAATCACTAAATTATCTGTGATTCACTCTTTTGGTTTGGCATCCTGGAGCCTGTTTAGGCACCACAGGTCAAAGATGTGTAGCTGCATTTTTATGACTTCTCCGTGGATGTGCATCACCTGTGGGCTATCTGAGAGCAACCTCGAATTAAAACAGCAACAAAGGGACAAAAAATGCTAACCAAATGTATCTTTAGTATTTCTCAATGTTCAATGTTTAAGAAATCTACTTTTTTTATTTTAATTAGGAAGATATCTGCTAGTCTCCAGGTCAACTTTGTAGCTCTTTAGATGACAAAACAATAAGTTTATTACATTCTAAGTAAATTTTCAACACAGATTTACTCTGCTGCGGGTTTACAGTTAATGCAGTAAAGAATCGAAAGTAATCATATCAGTGTGACTCATACCAGGCACCAAAATCTGAAGTACCGAACTTTGGCCTGGAAGTCTCGAACATATGTGATCTGTCTTCCATTTTCACTGTGAAAACATATAAAGAGAAATAAAAACAGTGTTACGAATCAGTATCTGAGAAATAAAACTCCAAAATAGTCTCAGCAAGGCAATTTTGAGTAGGTTTTAACTTGCTGCTCACTTTGCAGTTTTATAAACAGCTTCAGGAGCAATTCACATAGTGTGCATCTGTGGTCTTGTTTTACCCATATGTTTGGGCAGTATTTTGTAAAATATCCTAATTGTGGGGATTTACAGGTACATATGGGGATATTCAACTGGCTCCACATGGTAAAGTTCTTTGAGTTGGGTTTAGGCTTAGGACTAGGTGTAAATTCCGTTAGGTTAGGGTTAGATAGTTGTTAGCAAAGGTTGGGTTATGCCATACAAGATGAATGCAAGTCAATTAAATGTTCCCATAAATCTTAAAAACACAGCTGTGTTTGTGTGTTTTCTGTTTTAGATGAAGAGTGAGGACAGGTTTCAGCTTGTAACCTTTGGAATGAGGATATTTTAACAAAGTGAAGACAATGCCTGGTCCTCATGGGTATAATTACAGTTTTAGCATTAGATTTAGGGCTAAGGCATAACGAGAATTTTGGTTAGGGCTAGGTATGCACCCCTAATGGTTAGGTTTAGCGTTGGCTGTAGAATTTGTTAGAAATTATATGGAAGTTAATGAAGAGTCCCCACAAAGAGAGAAAGGTGATTGTGTTTGGGTGTGGTGGTGCTGTTGGGGGGAGGGATTAGACTTAGGTCAGGGTGATAAAGGTACTTTGACCTGTTTGGCTGCTACATGAAACACAAAGCAGGAATAATGATGCTTCCTAGTGTTACATAAAAGAAAAAGGTGAAATGAGAAAGGCGATTATAAAGTTAATGGTTATTGGGAATTTGAAGAAATATAAAATATAACTAAAGGCTACCCATAATATAAAATATTTTGTTAAATGAGAAGTCAGGTCACATTCAGAATTCAAACTTCTGAAAGTACTTTAAATATGAAACTATTACATACTGTTCAATAAATAATAAGTGCTTTTAATTAAGAGTAATTTTCATTTGAACGTGCTTTGTCAAAGAACACTACTGCCACCTACTGGTTTGTGTAGTCACTGTGTGGTATCGGCTGTTGATCAAGTTCCAGTGCTGTATCTGGTGTTTGTCACAACACGCTATTATCTAACTCACCTTGAAAACATTGTTCTTCCAAATGTTGGCTACATATTACATGTTTTTTTCTCTGGCCAGAAGTTCAATGGTACATCCTCCCTCTTCAATTTGGAAATCCAACGACGAACTCGTGGAAAATGATGAATCGAAAAGTTTAAGTAACTCATGTATTTGTCACTTTTACCTATCCAACTGCCATTGTCAGTTTAACAAAAGCTCTCACTAATTTCAATGGTGAAGTCCTCTTAAAATTTGAATAATTGTTGTTGATTGCAGATGTGTCTAGTAGTTCCCATTGATTTTGCTTGTAAAGCAAAATAATGGCGCTAGGCTTACCACATCATGACATCACTGCTGGAAGATGTCAGGAGTGAGGTGTTACCATATTTGGGCAAAAATGGCCGCTCCCAGACTCAGTGATGGGGACAAAAATTATTTTTTATTTTTTAACTGGTTAATGCTAAATTCATTAAATCACTGTGAATGTATTATTTTTAGGTATGAATAAGGATCCATTGATTGTTCCTTGCTGAGCGGACTTTACCTTTAAGTTTTTAGTCTACATCCCTGTATGGGAGACCTGAGAGTTATTTTCTAATTAAAACATCAAATGATCTCTAAGAAAAGTCAAAAAAAAAATTGTTCCTTTTCATTTATTTGGTCATTTCCTTTAGTTTGCCTGTTTTTGCGCTGCATTTATCAAAATTTAAATTTCTTTTCATAAAAACCAGAGAGCAACAAGGAGAAAAACCTACAGTGAGGATTTTCCTGTGCGAGGGTCGATGTAGGTGGTGGTTCTCCTGTTGTGGTCTACAAAATAAGGAACGCCGTCTACAGTGAACCTCATCTCCCAGCCTTCTGGGAGCGGCTTCTCGTTCAGTAATCTGGAAATGAGAAGAAAAAAATAAATGAAGGATGTTTTTGAACAAAATTGGAAAAAAAAAGATACACAAAGAGTTTTAGTCATAAAAGAACAGAGTTTGGTTGTTAGGGCGAATTCCCCCACTCACCCCTGTGTTCGTGGGTCCTCCCACTGTGTTGAGCGTGTTGGGTGATGTAAAAAGTAAACTCTATTGTTTGAGTCAGTCCTCTTTTCTGAAAAGGTAGAGTAAGATCAGCTTTTATCTAGGTTGGTTACTTCTACATTTGCATCCCTTCTGCTGTAAGACATCAAATGAAGCATTAACTGCCTGAACTAAATGCAAATCCTCATATACTGTAAATGAAAAACCATCTTTTTAGTAAAATTATAATCAAATAAATCAAGTAATTTAAATAAAGATGGATTTCAATTCTACAACAGCATAACTGCACTGCCTGGCCAAAAAAAAAGTCGCCACCAAAAAAAAAAGGTCACTCACTCTAATACTTTGTTGGACCGCCTTTAGCTTTGATTACGGCTTTCAAATGTCAAAAGATTTATTTCCATCCATTGTTGTATAAATTTTTCACCAAGATCTTGCATTGATGAGTCTGACCGCAGCGCAAAGCCCTCTCTAGCACAACCCAAAGATTCTCAATGGGCTTGAGGTCTGGACTCTGTGGTGGCCAATCCATGTGTGAAAATGATGTCATGCTCCCTGAACTAGTCTTTCACAATTTGAGCCCGATGAATCCTGGCATTGTCATCTTGGAATATGCCTGTGCCATCAGGAAAGAAAAAGTCCATCGATGGAATAACCTGGTCATTCAGTATATTCAGGTAGTCAGCTGACCTCATTCTTTGAGCACATACTGTTGCTGAACCTAGACCTGACCAACTGCAGCAACCCCAGATCATAACACCGCCCCCACAGGCTTGTACAGTAGGCACTAGGCATGGTGGGTGCATAACTTCACCTGCCTCTCTTCTTACCCTGATTGGCCCATCACTCTGGAACAGGGTAAATCTGGACTCATCAGACCACATGCCCTTCTTTCATTGCTCCACAGTCCAATCTTTATGCTCCCTAGCAAATTGAAGCCTTTTTTTTTCCGGTTAGCCTCACTGATTAGTGGTTTTCTTATGGCTACACAGCTGTTCAGTCCCAATCCCTTGAGTTCCCTCCTCATTGTGTGTGTGGAAATGCTCTTAATTTCAGTATTAAACATAGCCCTGAGTTCTACTGTTGTTTTTCTTCGATTTGATCTCACCACACGTTTAAGTGATCGCCGATCACAATCATTCAGGATTTTTTTCGGGCCACATTTCTACTTGAAGATGATGGGTTCCCACTATCCTTCCAGTTTTTAATAATGGACAGTTCTTAACCCAATTTTAGTAGTTTCTGCATCACTTTAGATGTTTTCTCTGCTTGATGCATGCCAATGATTTGACCCTTCTCAAACAGACTAACATCTTTTCCATGACCACGGGATGTGTCTTTCAACATGGTTGTTTAGGAAATGAGAAGCAAGTCATTGCACCAGCTGGGGTTAAATAACTTGTTGCCAGCTGAAAGATGCTCGCCCAAGCAGTAATTATCCAGTAGGAGGCTCGTACCTATTTGCTTATTTGAATCCAGGTGGCGACTTTTTTTTGGCCACGCAGTGTATATAAATGTACTATTATGCAAGAATTTATATGTTTGGAATTTTTTAAATGGTATTAAATATGTATACTGCAGCTTCCCAGCAGCTTGATAAGATATCTTCACTGTTATTTTCTGTAAATAACTTAAAATGATTCTGTACATAAATGTTGCTAAACAAATAAACATATCCTTCCTCAAGCTGCCTAAAAGGATTAGGGCTGTGTCCTGCATTTCAGATTACAGTCGTTTATGACAGGTCAATGTTCATCTTTCCATAATCCACTGGAGGCCTTTGCACTGATATAAAATAAACCCTTGATGATCTTACCCCATCCAGGAGGCAGCGGGCCGAGAGGATCAAATCCCTTGTTCTGAGGAGCTGACATTTTCTGTTGATCCTACAAAGATAGACAGAAATAAAGAAAACAAATCCAAATTAACTAAAAACAGACTAAGATTTGTAACATTTGAGTCAGTTAAGAGGAACCGAAAATACATCACCCTATTAACAACTGGTTTAAAACTCTGCTAAAAACTCAGCTGTTTCCATGAGAACATTAAAAAACATAGAAGAACTAAATTTTTCTGGATGCACAGCTATATGAAATTATTCTATGTAGAGTAGATTTTATCCTACCGGGATGTTCCGTTTTGCCAACAATTTTAGTTACATATTTCAAGATAATTTTCCATAATATTTTAATATTGATACTCAAAATCTGGGTGGCTCTTAATCATTATAGCTTTTGGCACATGGGTGAGGGGATCCAGCCTCTCGTGGCTGCAATGAATTGAATCTGAATAAGCAGCTAAAAGCACCAATTAAAAAGACAAACTCTCTAAGCAGGAGAAAGGTGCAACCACCTCCAAATTGTCCCACAGTTCCAGTCAGCACCACATAAGTCTTTACCTTGCAAGCAAGATGAATTGTTGCTGGACGCAAATTCACAAATTCATTAACATACATTTTGCCAGAAGCAAAAAGCCTAAAAAACAGATATTTTTTGACTAAATAAAAATCTAGAGCCATGTTCGATGTTAACCAGAAGCAGCAGGCTGAAGCAAAGCAAACTTTGCCGGTGTACTTGTTGGCTGACTCATTCACACTTGTTTTTCAGTCTGTTTCAGCTGGAATAGGCTCTATATCGTTTTTTAAAAGTTAACAAAAATACGTGATTTGTGAGTTTGTGAATCGGAAAGATGTTTGCACATTCGTTATGACTGGATTTGATTTATCAGTTAACTCCATTAGTTGTGATATGAATAAAAAATGTGCTACATCACAGCAATTGGCTAAAAGCTGAACGACGGAGGCAGGTGCCACTTTGTGATTTACCCAATTAGCTTGAAGCAGACATGGGCAATGTGGAGTCAACAAGTCATCTCCATGTCATGTATTTAATCTACCCATCCAATTAACCAGGTGAGTCCAATCTGCACAGGTTAATTTACGGTGAAGATTGGATTCACCTGCTTCAGTGGCTGGGTAGAACAAATACATGACATGGAGATGACTTTTTGACTCCACATTGCCCATGTCTGGCTTGAAGAATTGTACTAAATGTTCTTCCCTTTTGAAAACACTATCCACAGTATCCTTCTCTCCAGATGGATACTATAATATAGTTCATTTTGAACTACACAAATATATCTGGTTCATGCAAGGTTAAGAAAGTCTCACCTCATACATAAACCTCTGGTTGAACTGCTGCATGGCGCCCTGCAGATGGTTTTGCCGGTGCTGCCACTGTTCATAGTTATGTACTGACTCCATTGTGGGGCGCTGCCATGTGGTGGTTCGTGTGGTGTGATCTACATAGTAGGGACGGCCTATTTCGTCCAATCGACACTCCCATCTTTAAGCAAACAAAATGAAATCATGCATTACTGCAACACCTAAAGTGAGAAAAAACTGTGCTACTGTAAAGGGAGAAATAAAACATGATAATTATTATAATAATATAGAACCCAAAATCAAACCTGGCATTAAATTTTTAATCTAATTTGACTAGAAAAAACTTCTACAATCAACACTGTCTATTATTTCAATTTTACCCTTCAGTATTTATACATACACTCACCGGCTACTTTATTAGGTACACCTGTCCAACTGCTCGTT